CACTCACACTAATGTTGGCTGCACGCGAAAGATTACCGACTGTTGTACGGATAGTATTAGTTAAAGATTGTTTGTCTACATTTATATAGTACTGTTTAAAAGAAGTGAAACAGAAAGTACGTATGAAAAAAGAGATTTACTTTTGAAATTTCCATTTCAAACTTGACGACATCAAGAATATCGTCATCGATTTCTGATGTGTCGTTGGCCAATACTAAAGTGAAGTCCTTAAAGAACTGCCAATAAGCTTCTGCTACTTTTGCTCCTTGGGTATAGTGGATCATATTTTTCAGAAGAAAATTAGTTGGACCGATCTGAAAGATAAATATTCATAATCAACGATTCTAACTATTGAGTCTTACTAGAATGCTTCGAACCGACGAATTCTGTGTGTCGATAGGTGTCGTCACCGTGTACAGTATGAAATTATTGTACTGACTTAATTTGAGCATTAGACGAGCAAAATCAAATGTTGATTCGTTCCATGTCGAACCTTTCAAGATAGGCCATCCACCGAACTCTATATTGATGAAAGAGAGTATTACATCGACATCCTCCGCTTCGATAGCGCTTTCGTTGACACAGGAATTATACAAGCGACGAGCATTAGTAATTGCTTTAGGCTCTATTGTTCCATTCAGTGGTGATGATGAAAGCAGATCTTTGAAAAACGAGAAAATAAGTAAAACATAGGAATAATTTACTGTACCAACAAGTGCGTTCTCCAACTTTGTCGACATTCCTGACAGAGAACTTTGTATATCCTCTGAAAATGATAGAATATATTATTCATTTGATCATCTAGAGCTTACTATCAGGTGGTATTCGTGCTTTCTTAATCCATGTTCCACAGGCGAACTCATAAAAGTTTTCGCACGGATCGATTGTCTCATTAATACGTTCGAGCAGATAGTTTGCTAAAAAGGATAAAATATTTCCACTGATGTGGCAAAATATACTAACCTGCTCTGATGCAATATGGAGTTAAACATAAATCACCAGTGTCATTGACTGAAGCTATTATTCAATCAGAGATTATATATCAGTTATTTTATCTCCATAGAATACATTCACACGTACCTGCCGTTATTGTTCGTTGGTCGTTTATCTTGTTTAGTTCAATATCGTATAAAATGAGCAATACGATTATGAAAATCAGTAGCAGAACGATAATAATGCCAAGCAATCGCGATGTATAACATTTCTTCGATCGAGATGACCTACTACAATGATAAGAGACGAAATAACTGCACCCGAAATATAACTACTGGATGAACAATCTGATCAGTATCCTCTTCGAAATATCTGTTATTCATTTTCTCATTTTTATTTTTCTCCTCGACTCGCATTCAACTTACCTTTGATGAAAAGGAATATACAAGGTGTTTGCTTCTGAATCACTTAGCATCGTTATTGTTTTGATCCAATTAAAACGCAAGTCTAGGTAGATATATATGATTTGATAGTTCTCTTCAACCTTTCCTTCTTCAATTGCTCATGTAATATGATAAGATCGTCACTATCAGAGAAAGTTTGGACGGATGAAAAATTTCATTATATGAAGCGTGGAAATGAAACCAATACTATTCCCTATACTGCAAAAAGCTACCAACCGAATAAAATATTGTCTGCACTTTCATTGAAATAAAAATGTCGAAAATGAAAATGATGCAAATGTTGAAAGGTAGAAATGTCGAAAATAATAGAGTATGAAAGGAATAATCTTTATTGCCCTCACTCGTACATTCTGACCTTTACCCTCATTTTGCTTTAGGCTGAAGTTGAGATTACAGAATAAAAACGATTTATGACGAAACGGAACGGAACAAGAAAACAAGAAGAACACTATCAATCAGTTATTGTGTGTATAGAAAAGAGTGCTGCACAATAGTTGAACAAAGACTATCTAACGATTCGGTGCGACAGAGCATTGTACATTTAATTTTAAGGAAACAGTACGAGTTTGAAATCTCGAGTACCTCAGCACATTGTGGTACTGAAATTTAGTGATGGTGCTCATACAGTTTTGAAAAAAAAAACAGATAATTAGTGTTATAACTAGAGATGAAAGCCATTCTATTTCAAATCAAATTTTTTCCTGAAGAAACGGTTATTCCAAGAAAACAACAATTTTTTTTTATAAAACTTCACTGAAGGTTGTCGGGGTTGAAGAGGGTGGGTGGATGTGGGTGTACTGTGAATGCGCGCACGGTATTTATGAGCTCCTTGATGTAGGAGTACGGCTGTTGGTATGCGTGTACGTATGGCTGTGCGTGTCTTTTTTTTGTGAAGATGGGTGCGCTTATTAGTGTAGATGGCCGTAAGGGTGTGGGTTGGATCCAGGGAAGAACCACACGGACACACATGCAAATCCTCACCGACAGTGACACTGACACGCACCTTAGCACCCATAATATCATTAGCAACTATATCCACTCTGATGCACACATTTGGCGTTAGTATCGATTGGGCTGGTCTAGTAGTATTTTATGTCGAAACAGTTGGGCATTTCCTCAAGGATCAAGCAAGTGGCAACAACAAGCGTTACTTGTAAATAATAATTATGTTATTTGTGATTTATGTACATCATTTACTGTATATGAAATAGTTATAGCTACTGGATCTATGCAAAAAAATGAGGTCATTTGTATTGTAGAATATCTAGCCAGCTAATAGTAACACAGGGTGTATGGCTATTTTAGGGTGCGGGTATGGTTGTGGATAATGAAGTGTGTTGTGAATACCCACATCGATACGCACACCCACCCACACTCCATACTCCACATTTATTTCGAATGTTATGCTTTCAACATGTTCAACAAGATTAAATTAAACATAAAGGAACCTTTTACCAACGTATGAACTAAAATCGTACGATTCTTCTATGGAAGATGCATATAAAAGGTTCGAAGGATATGCTTCACACACAGATAAAACAGATGATTTATTAACAGTCAACCGTTTTTGGAATCAACGAATAGTTAGTAGTGGTTTTGTCTCAGTTTAAGAAATACTTAATATTGACTTTTCTGGTGAGGTAACACGTGATCAGTTATTCAGTGAGATATTTTAAAAAAACAACTATATGATGCTTATGATAAAGTTAAATATTGATCTTCCAATCGATGTTAATGAAGATTATTATTTCGATTGGTAAATAGCTTGATACAAAACTATTTTATTTTTTGTTTGAAGAAAATATTTAGTTTTCGGTGTTTCTATCGAATGGAAAAGGTGAGACAGAGAAATGACAGGAAGTCTGTTATGAAGGAATAAAGAAGAGATGTGACTTAATTTGTGTTTTAAAGAATAATATAAACACTTATTCATCATTTTAAACTTTTCTCTGAAGGTTTCATAGTTTTATTTGGTTCGACATATACTGATATAGAAATGCCAAGGCCTCGCTACTTAACTATTGATAAATCATAATATGATTACGAACATTGTTTAGACTGAAATGTCTGTCTATCTGACTGGAGATAGAAAATCAAGATCTTATCATGTTCATGTCAAAGCTCCTCAATTCATTTATTTAGAAAATATATCATTCTTTTATTCTTTTTTGTGTACTCAAAAAGTGAGTACACTCTAGAATCGGTCAGTATGTCCGGCCGTCCGTCCGGCCGTCCGGCCGGCCGTCCGGCCGGCCGTTTAGACGATCAGTTTCGAAGGGGT